TAAAACACAAATTTGAATATTTATTTTGCTAACTAGTTTTGTGACATATTTGGAAGATGTTTGGAAAATTCAATAAAAGAAAATATTATTGTAAACAAATTTCACATAAAACTTCGTAGCATAATTACTTTAATAGAGGTAAAGTTTTTCTCCTCTCTCTTTTTCTTTCTCTTCTCTTCCTATTAATGGAAAGAGCTCCATTTTGATGAAAAAATAAAAATGCCACTCTACTACAATATTGTAGTGTAGAGTTATCTTAGATATATGATAGTTTTTAGCTTTTGCCACGTAGAAATGAAGAGAAAAGCATGGATGATAATTTCCTTAAGGGTATGGTATTTCCTTAAGGGTATTTTATTTATAATATTATCTGTGCTAACACAGTAGAGCATAATAGTCACTTATTTTATGAACTCTAGTAAAATAACCATATAACCAAACCTCACTTCTGATTGCTGGTTTATACTTAAGACAATGTTTAGAATTTCAGTATTCCTTGCCTCCCTTATAACATTAGTTAATTTCACATTTTTCTTAATCATTCACTTTAGATATGTCTATTATTTCTCATTGTTTTCTGTTAATAGTTTGTGTCTTTTCTTTTTTAATACAATCATGCAGTTTCCTGGACATAGCATCTGGAAATAAATTTCAAAATTTTGAAGTGATTTTCCACCTTTTTTAAATAAAAAAGTTTAAAGTTGACTTTTAAGAGGAGTTTAATTTCTTTCTGTGACCAAAGGCCAATTAAATTGTCTTAAGACAATGGATGTGAACAGGTTCTTTTCAAAAGAAGACATACATGAAGCCAACAATTATATGAAAAAAGCTCTACATCACTGATTATCAGAGAAATGCAAATCAAAAGCACAGTAAGTACCATCTCACACCATTCAGAATGGTTGCTATTAAAAAGTAAAAGAGGTTGCAAAGAAAAAGGAATGCTTATACACTGTTGGCCAGAGTCTACATTAGTTAACCACTGTGTAAGACAATGTGGTGATTCCTCAAAGACCTAAAAACAGAAATACCATTTAACCCAGCAATCCCGTTACGGGGTATATACCCAGATGATTATAAAATTTTCCTTTATGAAGAAACCTGCATGTGTGTGTCCATTGTAGTACTATTTGCAATAGCAAAGACATAGAATCAACCTAAATGCCCATCAATGGTAGACTAGATAAAGAAAATTTGGTACATATACCATGAAATACTATGCAGTAATAAAAAATGAATAAGATTATGTCCTTTGCAGGAACATGGATGGATCTGGAGGCCATTATTCTCAGCAAACTAGTGCAGGAAAAAAGAACCAAATGCAGCATATTCTCATTTATAAGTGGGAACTAAATTATGATTACATATGGACCCACAGTGGGGAACAGCATGCATTGAGGCCTATTGAAGGGTGGAGCATAGGAGGAAGGAGAAGATCTGGAAAAACAGCTAATGGGTACTAGGCTTAATACCTGGGTGACAAAATAATCTGCACAACAAATCCCCATGACACAAGTTTACCTACATAACAAACCTGCACACGTATCCCTGACCTTAAAAGTTAAAAAAAGTCCTGAGACTATATTATTAAAAATGTTCTTTGAATATCACATCTTCTTTTATATAGATTATGGATGAAAAAGTAGGTAAGAATTTTTACCACCAACTTTGGATGACTTAGAGGAGAAAGTGAGAGTTGAACTGTCTTGTTGATTCCCTAAAGTAAGATAAATGCTTTCTCTATTGAGTTCCTAAACATCATGACTGACATGAGCTTTCCTAATGGATTTCAATGAGATTTTGGCAAAAGCTTTTATGTTCCTAAGTTTCATATGATTTCATATGAAAGCATAATTGTTTAGATTCCATAGATATATGATAATAGATAACTTATTTTCCAAAACCTATTTTGTTTATTTTTTTGCTGGAACAAACACCCAGGCAATGATTCAAAACAACCAATAAAAATGTTATATTTTTCCTTATAATTTTTAAATGAAAATTTCTATATTCAGGAATAATTTGCAAAAATTCAGCTCATAAGTTAATAGAAGTTGACATATTCATCACTTGCCTTACATGAAGACAGTTTTTCAAAAACCTATGAAGTTTTGGCAAGTACTTGACAATCTGGATGCATGGTTGATGATCTCATTTCACATTAAATATTACAAACATTTCCACCTTTTAAAGTTTTGTTTAAAATATTCATGCTTACAATTTATTCAGAAAGCATGAACATCCATATGTTTGACTTTAAGGGTTGTCAAGTCATGTTCATTTTTACTTTAAGAGCACAAGGAAGGTAAAGACTGTCACATTTCCCCCTCAGAACTAGCATAAATACAAATGTGGTTATTTGTAAAGCCCTTCTGATACCAGGGCTGTTAAATAATACTTGAAGTTCAATTTTGGAGTTACTAGTATTGAAAACATTTAAAGAAGATGAAAGTCTATGGGAGCCTTATAATTGTAAATACTGAAAGAGGGACAGTTTCCATAATTCAAAATCAGGAGTGTCAACATTTTCACAGTCAGTATAATTATAAATATGAGATTTGTGGAGATCTTATTTATGAAAACAGGATCACAAAATCAAAGACTGAAAATTCTGCTATGAAAAGTTGAGTCACCTGAATTCCCTTTATCCAAGCAATAGCTAAAATACATACTTCAAAAGACTCCCTTAAATTTTATTAGCTTTTAAAATTTATTGATGATGTAAATAAAATGTTGAGAGAATTATGATATGAATTATAAAAACTAGCTGCATTGTGTCAAGTCAGAATATCTTGAGGGTAAAGAAGATAATGAAGTCATAATAGCAAACAGGTGTTATGTAAGACTTCTACGTATAAGATTATTCATTGAAAAAGGGTATGCTTTTTCTAAGGGGATAAAAATTATGTAGAAATATGATATTTCTTTATTTTATCTATGCTGAATAGCACTCTGGGCCTTTCCACAACTTATTTTAATGGATTAAATTTTTGTAGCTATTAAAATATATGAATTAGCATTTTCATATGCTGAGGACAATCATTATTTCTTGGTTGATGTGGTAGAAAAATGACTAAGTTTCAAATTTAGATTTTCTTGGCTCATATCCTATGTTGATAATATGGCATAAGGTGGCCAAGACAGAAATAGAAAGAAAATATTTGCTCAAACCTGTAGAGGCTTCTGAGGATGTGCCTATGTTTTGAGATAGTGCTTTAGATTCTGTTGGTGGGTGCATGGTTACTGTTATGGAGAGAATATTGCCATACACAAAGGAATTTTTATTTGGAGTACAAGTGTTGATTACTTACAAAATGCAGAGCACAAATAAACATATGCTGGAACCATAATTCCAATAGGACAGACAATTTATCTAATTGAGAAGTTAGATAAATGCAGAAAACAGCAAATGTGTTAGATTTCTATTACTCTTTCCCAATAAGTGCTCTTTTTAGACAAAAAGGTGCTATAAATTCTAACTGCCTCATACTCTTCATGCTTTCTTCAATTTGTTTTCATTTCATGCTTTCTTGCTGTTCCCTCTGCCTAGAATGCATTTTTTGTCTTTATTTAATTATCAGTTACATATATTTCAAATAGTTTTTCCTTAACTAAAGTCATCCTCAATCCAGCCCAAGGCAAAATTAACCACAGATCTCTAGTTATTCAGTTATTATAAAAGTATCTCCTTATCCCTCTGTTGCCACTTTTAGATTATTTTTTCACAAAGACAACACCATGGCATTTTCTACTATCTCCAAACACTCTCTTAAATATTTATTGAATTGAATAAAACAACTTAATGTTTAATAGTTTTGTATTATTTTGTAACTCTCACACACACATTGTTAATTTCTGCGGATTGCTTAATATTCACAGTTTTAATATCATCTCTATAGCCAATTTCATATTGTTTCCAATGTCCAGTTACACTTTTGTTTTTTAAATTCTTCATAGATTTTGCTTCAGGCTTTTGTCCTGAAACTCTAAAATATAAGGGGAAGACATTTATTTTATAATCCATTTAAAAGAAACCTCTTTCATATTCAGAGCGTACAAAAGTTACTGTATTAGTAGGTATTCTGTATTTCAACAAAAATTCAACATGAAGAAAGATTATTTGACTCTCTTTTTCTGTATATTTGTACACCACAGAATAAGTGGCCTATATGACACATTTCCACTATTTCACACTTTCATGATCTAATCTCAGCTGTAGTCCCAAAATCAGTTTGTCAGCAGCCTGCTGCTTAAATCTAATACCTTTGTCTCCCATTAATCTTAGTTGAAGTAGAATTATTGACAGAAATGATTTCTATAGGGAAATTAAGAATGATAATTAATGTGGTGTCCCTTACAGTTACTAAATGGCATGTCTATCTCTATTTGTGTTGGGGGAGGTGTAGTAACTTCATCCAATTTAAATGAATTGGTATAAAATTCGGCACCAAGAGGCACAACTCGAGACCTTATTAAATACAAGAATGATGCTACATTACATTTAAGCAGAACCTGTTAAAAATTATCACCTAATAGGGTGCAATTGCTTAACGGTTTCCTCAAGAGGAAATCTGCCTTATATATTCAATTCATTTTGCTTTGAAGAACTTGAATATTAATTCAGCTTCTGGCTTGAAACAGTGGCAAAAATATTTATTTGTTAGAAAATAAGTGCCTTGGTTGTTGAGCAATCCTCTTACACACCAGACACATTTTCTCCCCACTATTGACTTTTGCTTCAAACACATACTTGCATTTTATTTTGTAGATATTACACATAATGAATTATTTAGCATCTAATTGACCGATTGAGAATAAAAAGCTAAATACAAGCAAATATATTTAAATTTTAAATTAATTTTAATTTTAATTTGACATCTGTATGGTTTGGATATCATGTCTATTTGTAATCCCCAGTAGGGACTGGTGGGAAGTGATCGGGTCATGGGGTTAGATTTCTCAAGAATGGTTTAGTATCATCTCCTTAGTGCTATTCTTACCAGTGAGTGAGTTATCATGAGATCCGGTTATATAAAAGTGTGTAGCATCTCCCTCATCTCTCTTACTCCTGCTTGGGCCATGTGATGTATCTGTTCCTCCTTCACCTTCTGCCATGATTGTAAGTTTCCTGAAGCCTTCCCAGAAAGCCTAAGAGAAACAAGTATTATGTTTCCAGTACAGTCTGCAGAACTATGAGCCAATGAAACCTCTTTTCTTTGAAAATTACCTAGTCTCAGGTATTTCTTTACAGCAATGAGAGAATGGCCTAACACAGATATAATTTACACATATTGTTTAAATGGTCAAACAGCATTTCAAGTCTTCTAAAATAGCAATTTTCTATCCCACTCTTTCCTTCTAAATTTCCATCCCCAAGGTGGTTGTTTAGGTGTATGCTTGAGCAGTCAGTCTTACTGATTGCTTGTGGACAGAGACTATTGGATTAGTTGGTATGTATGTAAGTTATTGGTTGTTAAATATTTTAATATTCAGCCTTACTCATCCCCCTCCCTAGTTCTTATTCCAAAGAACCTTTTATAAAGGTCCTTTAATAAATAATTAGAGATACATGATGGATGAAAAAGAAAAATGAGGCCATTATAATTCCAGAAAAATGGCAAAGTGTTATACAAGAAAGGAAATACATTTGTAATAAACTTGTTTTAGCAAGTAACACTGTTTATATAGTCATGACATTGTTAAAGCTGAATATTGATTTACCTCACAGCCATGATATAACTATATTGGGAAGGACACAAGGAAAGAAAATGGTATGGGGTGTTAAAAGTGGTTAGACCAGATAAAAGACCAATAATTGATAGTGTTTAAAATTGATCAAGCACCCATGTAAAGATATTGCTTAGAAATATGAAAGTGCATAGCAGAAGAGAATCTAAAGAATTTATTTCCTCTCTGCTCACTTAAAAATACACTTTTTCTATTCTTTTAGTAATAACACTAGAAATAAAAATTTACATACTTAACTTACTAATCAAAACATACTTAATACTTTTGTCTTCCTCTCAGACAATATTAGAACTGTATAACATTTTATGTCCACTTAATGACCCTTTCCAGACTTACATGTTATTGATTTATATACTTTAATTTTAATATTTAACAACAAAAATATTATTGTTTTATATTAACTTTCTTCATTTTTCACTTGCTTTTTTCTCCATTCCTAGGATTACCATCCTTCTGCCTAAAGTTCCTCCTTTTTCTGAGACAAGGTATGCCTTAGCTTGTGTGAAAGACAGTGTTTGTGCTGGGCACTGGGAATCTTTTATGCAGAAGAAATCTTACAAGGCAGCATTTTAAAATAAAACATGAAGACATAGAGCTTTCCTGATTGAATTTAGGCACCTAAAATCCTACGTAGGCGTTGCTTTAGTCATCCGTAAATTGAAGCTTTACAGAACAAAATGGACATTTTTCTCATCTAAAATTTTCAATTCTTCAATTATCTAAGATCTCTTCACTCTTCAATATGATCTATCAATTTGCCATTATCTATAATTGAATGACCTGCTATTTCTTTCATTCATATATAACTCCTGTATGATTTTCCCAAATAAATAGCCACAGGGTATAAAAGGGAAGGAAGAATAATGTCATATCACGGATGTAAAATGTTACCAGTGACTTCTGTCCTTATCTCATACTACTGGTACTTTTAGTGGTGATGGTGAAGCCAGTTTCTTATAGTATCTGTATTTTACTGGAAGCCAAGGTTTTGGAGGACTCACATAGCATGCCTTTAGCAATACAAGTATGTCCCTAAACCCCAAGGGACAGCACTAACATAGTTTTTTATGCAAATCTTCCCTTAAGAACTCCAGGAGCTCAAAACATTTATATCAAGGCTTTTGCTATATTCTGATTAATAACCCTTAACATGGCACCCAAGTGACAATCCACTAGCCTAAAGATAAAGTCCTCCACAAATTCTTTTTTTTTTAAATGACAAAAGAACAAATGAAAGATGGCAAAGAAGATACAGGGAAAGATAAACAAAAGTTGTTTTTGTTTTTTGCTTTGTTTTGTTTTTAAGAATGGGGTCTTTCTATGTTTCCCATAGTAGTCTTGATACAGCCTCCTGAGTAACTGGGACTCCAAAGGCATGTCATCATCAACAAGCCCAGTCAAGTTTTAACTCCTGGTTATAGCTCCAGTCATGAGAGCAGACTTTAGGAAATCACAAGATTCAAGCTCAATTAATAGCATGGTATTCTCTTAAAATCATTAGAACATCAGCCATAACAATGGGCATGTGTTACTTGCTGCAGCTGTCTTTTTATTTCAGGAAGCTCACTTCACTCCCAAAGGGGGAAAGCATACAACACAATTACTTGACTTCCCTTTCTATTTCTTGCCTAAAAATTTTTCTTTTGGTTTGCTGAAAGAAAAAATCATTGACTGATACAGTTGTATGTTCACAGTAGGTGATGCAACTGAGCTCATTTTCATTAATAATACATATATCCACTGAAGGGGCATTTTTTGAAGGAAGAAAAGGCACTTTCACAATCAATCAAATTCTGTTTCAATTTTTTTCCCGTGTAGCAAAGTTAGAATCACAGTTATCCTGAAAGACTATGTAAATGATATCCTTCTTTCTATTTGTCTACCTATAGATTTCTTCACAAGTGTGGGCTCTTGGGAATAAGTGAGACAACTATGACATTGGTTTGACTCCATTTTTTCCTTTAAAAATCTTTACTACATCTCTGTAGAAAGAGAAGAAATAATTTCTTTCTTTTGTTAAAATGTAGTTTATTATAAGGAAAAGTAACTTTCAAAAACTTCCAATCAAAGTTATTATTCTGAGATTTTAATCCTTTTAGGGGACTAAGGCACTTACTTTTCTACTGGCATTAACTGTTGCTGCCTGCATTTGTATCCCTTTTATCCTTAATGGTACTCCAACTTATTTATCGTTTGTCCATTCCTGAGGCACCTTTGATTCCTTACTTTTTTTTATTTAATACATTTTGTCACTCACCTCTTCTGATTCTATATTTACTCATTTTCATATGGACAGTTAAATATGGTTAAATATCTCACTTAACTGCTACTGAATTTAAAGACAAAAAATATACATGCTCTTATTCTAACATTGTTAAACAAAGTGAAATGGGCATTTCATACAAGGTATGCATGTATTTCATTTTCAGATAGGACAATGTATTATGAAGATGAAAGTAATGAAATGGTCTCTGCAACTACCTACATTAATTAATATGAAATGTACCACATATTCAAATATGTGTACAAATATCTAGATTTATTCCATAACCTTCCTCACTGGTTGCAAAGTATTTTAGTAATTTCTGTATCAAACTAATCATGTAACATTTTAGTGGTTAGAATTTTAACCACTAATCTAGTAGATCTTAACCACTAATATAGTTTAACCACTAAGTTATATTTCTATCCACATTTTAAACATTTGTAAATATAAACTATGCACCCATTTTCTTTAAAAGTTACAATAATATTTATAAGATGGCACTAAAGAGTGCCTTGTTTTATGGTGTAACAAATAATTAACTGTATTCTAATCACTTATTTCTCTTTTCTCAGTTTCCAAAAGTTCTCAGTTTCCACTGAGTGATACTTGCTGTTTTAGAGAAACTGCTTTCACTCTGGACTACAGTAGTGGAATATGTAGACTACAGTAAGTATCTTACTTCTAACTTAAGTCAGAAGTAATGTGCGATTTAAGCTGTTCTAATTAAAATAAATAACAAATTCTGCTGGGTATATTGGGGTTAAGATTCATACATTTTATCTCTCATTATTATTTTTAAAATAAGTAATATAGAATATGCAGAATTTTCTGATCTGAAGATGTAGACTGGGTCACAATAAAGACAAATACCACTTATATTAGTCATCTTGCATTATGTTATGACACATAGCAAGTATCTCTTAAATCTGGATTGCTTATGACAAGAAAGTTATATGGCTTCTCTAACTACATGTCATCTGTAGGCCACTGCTAATCAGGGATAACCCAAGTCTACTCTTTTTCTATGAGTGTTTTTCATTTGAACGTTCAGGTGGAAGAAACAGTCTCTATTTGGGCCATGCAATTCTTATGGAATAAGTAAAATAGCTGCTAAGTGAGCCCAACCACTCGAGTGTTCAAAGCTTCTATTTGGTCGTGGCATACTTCACATCCATTCACCTTCCATTAGCCAAAGCATATCACATAGTGAACTCCAAGATTAACTGGGCAGGGTAATTAGGATGTTAATACGTAAAGTCAATTTGCCTTTATGTATAACTGGTATAACTTTCTGAAATTTTGTACCTACCAAGAGATAATGGTTATTAAAAAGTGAAGTACAGTTAAATATTATTAAAAGTTGGATTTTGGTTTTAATTACTCAGAGAAAAATGATGTCACTTTAAATAATTATTTGCCTTTGGTTTTAATGAGAGAAATTTGCAGTAAGGAGTTCTGAAAAATCCAGTGTAACTTCTCTAAATTTACCAAATGTTTCTCCAGATGTCTATAAGTGTCAAATTAAACTTGCAAATTATTTTGCTTCATGTGGGGTTTTTAATTGAAGAATCACTCATTTTCTTCTTTATACAAAATTTGATGCTTGGTAATTGATAATATTATACAGGAAAATTTACTTTCAATAAATTTACCTTTCCAGCATAATCAACAAATACTTTTTTCCAGTATAATCAAAGCATGCCCTTGCAGCTTTCAACATGTACATGTTGTGGTGAGTGACAACTATTTTAAATAAAGTTTCCATGTTGCTTTATCAACAGATTATGTAAATAAAAATTATTCAGTTGACCACATTTTTTCTTTGAAAGTGAAAAGAACGTTGCTATGTATATCACAAAATTCTTAAGGCATATGTGAATCCAGATTTGTTTGCTTGTTTAAATATAACGTCATTAAGCAAATTTGGCAAATATGTGTCTGACAATTATACCTGAAATTTTGCTATACAAATTAAAAACAGAGGTAATAAAAGAATATATTTTATATCGCTTTATGTATTAATTTATAAACAACAATTACATAGTCATCAGATTATGGAAGGCTTAGAAATAAGTAAAAGGAAAGAAAGTCATGGAACTAGGCCAGAAGTGGTGCAGACAGGGTATCAGGTGGCTTACATAATCAACATGGAGGATGAGAACCAAGACTAAGCAAGATCTTGGTTGTGCAAAAAACTTTGCACAGCTAAGATTTTCTTATAAGAAGTGTTTGCTTAGGGCAAGACTATTGGCATAATTGTCACTAGTCATGTGACATTTCTGGCCCTGATGCCATTGGACAATTAGCTGATCTGCTGCTTGCCTACATCTTTGAATACTGGGTTTACATCATGCCGCTATGGTGTCAACTCTTGGTAGTGGCTTCACAGAGCCCCTATTTGACCCTTTATCTTTGTGTCACTCCCCCAGTTTCCTTCTTCTTCTGTAGCATCTAATAAGTTGCTGTGTTGAGTCACGTGCCTAATTCTAGCTGCTAAATCATGTTGAGAGAGACATATTTTCACATACAATAGAAGTGGGAGGAAATTGCTTGCCATATTGAATACTTGCATGCTGGGCAGACAAGACAATAATAATCTGTCTCCCACTGTCACTTATATTATCACACAAATATGGGATCATTAGCATTTTTGTTTACATATTTTTATTTATTTTTATTACAATTAGTATACCAAATAGAACATTTTATTAAATACTTAGTTTAATAAAACAAAATAAAGAGATTGAAAACTGGAAGATATCTGCACCATATATGATAAAAATGTTAATGATCTTAATACATACAAACATTTCAAAATCAATAAGATAAAATAAACATGCCAACTACAAATTGGCAAAGGACATAAACAAGCAATTCAAAAGGAAATGTAAAAAGCTATTAAACAAGTGACAACATATCAACATAACTGACATTCAGAAACACATATACACAAAACAATGATGTCTCACATTTTTGTTTGTCGATCTGTGAAATAGTAAAGTGATTGACAATATTCAATGCTAGTAAAGACATGAGGAAACATTCACACTAAATTGGTACTTTCAGTGGGACAATTTGTTAACAAATGTAAACTATTAAAACATAAATATGTTTGAACAGAGATATCCTATTACCCAGAAATTAATAAGAAAAATAAATAAATAAGGGATAATACATGCCAATAGATATTCATTATCATATTGTTTATAATAAAGTGTTAAGCTAAATGACAAATAAAAAATTGAAGAGAGAAGTTCTAGCTAGGGCATCAGACAAGAGAAAGAAATAAAGAGCATCCAAATTGGAAAGAAAGAAGTCAAATTATCCTTGTTTGCTAACGATATGATCTGCATTTGGAGAAACCTAAACACTCCACCAAAAAACTGTTGGAACTGATAAACATATTCAATAAAGGCATGTAAAATCAATGTATACTGAATTTCTGTCTCCAACTATGATTTGTCTATTTCTGTTAGTTTTTCTTGCATCTGCTTTGCAGCTCTTTTGTTAGGTATATGCACATTTAGGTTTGGTATATCTTTTGGTGAGCTAAAACTTTTGTAATTTTATTGTTAGAATAGGTAGCAGGAAAACATGAACAGTGCAGGAGAAAGACCCCCCCCAGGCCCACCCCTGCCAGGAATATCAGGCAGCCATCAGGTGATGGTCAGGTGGTTGGTAAAACTGTCTCTTTAAAATAATAATTGATTGCAGCCAATGCCAGGGAAAGAAATAGAAAACACCTGAAACTGGTGATCAGTAGTTTCCTGATAAGATCTCTGAAGTTGGGCAAGAGGGCTCAAGCATGTGCACAAAGAGGCAAAATGGCTGAGCTTAACCAGTATATGACCTTCCTCAGGGATCACCTGGACTGGTAAGGGAAAAATACCTCAAGTCAGCATGTGCACAATTTCAATAAACATACTGAGCTTGTGGCTACTGTGCATGTGGACACCCTGCTCCAAGGAAAGAATTAAGGGAGAAGAAATCCAAAGCTGGAAACATGCCAATGTGTAAAACCCCAAGTCAAAGGCCAGACAAGGCCCTTGGATCTCTCAAGACACCTGCTTGGCCGTCTTCCAAGTGTACTTTACTTCCTTTTATTCCTGCTCTAAAACTTTTTAATAAACTTTCATTCCTGCTCTAAAAACTTGTCTTGGTCTCTCCTTTTACTTTAAACCTACTTCTGCCTCTCAACCAACTTACTTCCTCTGAGGAGGGAAGAATCAAGCTGCTGCAGACCCTTATGAATTCACTGCTGGTAACAACATAGTGCCCTTCTTTATCCCTAATAATTTCTTTGGTTTAAAGGTGACTATATTTTAATAAATCCAAATCCACTCTTCATTTTTTTTCCAGCTACTTGTTCTTGGTGTTGAATAGCATGTCTTTTTCCATTTTTTAAATTGTAACCTACCTACATTATATTTGAAGTTGATTTTTTTAATAAACAATATGTATTTGGGGTCATGTTTGTTTTTACATTATGACAATCTGTGTTTTTTAAATTATATGTTAATTCATTTAACACTATATCATTTTTGATATATTTGAATTTAGGTATATCACATTATTATTTGTTTTATATTTGTCCTCTGTTTTTCATCCTTCTATTGTACCTTTCTTGTCTTCTTTTGAGCTCGTTGAACTTTTTTTAGCATTTAGTTTTATTTATCTTTTGTGATTTTTACTATATCTCTCTGAATTTTTTTGTTTTGTTTTGGCGGTTGCTCCATGGATTATAAAGTGCTTACTTAACATTTCATAGTTTACCTAGAATCAGTATTTTACTATTTTAACTGGAACTTTTAGCCCTCCAATTTACACTATAGTTTGTTACATACTATGTCTTTATAAATTGAGAATGAAATTTATTTCAAATGCCTTCATTACTAAGGAATATTTTTGCTGAATAATGATCTGGATTGACAGTTCTTTTCTTTCAACATTTTAAAAATGGTGTTCCAGTAGTTATTACTCAAATAAATATAATTGAAGGCTTGTAGGTGAGGGATTTTTCTAAAGCAGCTTGGGAAAAATAGTGGGCCTGCCTACGCTATGGGTGCTTGCTGCTGATTGGTTGCAGCAGAGATTAAATCATAGCAGGTCAAAGCTGTCTCTTGAGCTGAGTAGCTCATTGGTGGAGCAACAGTAGCAGTTTGGTGGGTCCAGGTGGAGCCATCAGTGTCAGACATGCAAAAAACTTAAAAAGATATTTCAAAAGGCCAATGTACAATAGTGATGTTATCTGAAAGAGAAATTGGGGAATTTGCAAATCCTGTGACCAGTATATACCTTAGCAGAATTCAGCTCCTCTCTTCCCCCTAGCCTGGTGATCTTTCATTAGCTTTATAAAGGCAGTTGAGTTTTGGGGAAGAACTATTATAATTTAAACTATAATTTAAATATCTTCCAAAGTTAGCTTGGCCTAAGACTAAAAATAATTAAGGTAGCTCGAAACCTAAAGGCAAGAGTAGGGATTGGTTAGATTAAATCTCCCCCGCTGCCATATTTCCTTGCTGATATAATTTCTGCAAAGGCAAGCTCATAATCAGTCCATATCTTTTTTGGAGGGCAATTTGGCAGTATCTATTAAATATGAAAATATGTGTACTTTTGATTCAGTAGTTCTACTATAAGAAATGAATGCTACAGAAATACTATTAATATTGCCCAATAAATTTGTATATGACAATAAATATATATTGTAGTATATTTTATAACAGCAAAAATTGTAAGTAAAGTAGGTTCATCAGAAAAAGATTAGTTAAATAAATTGTGGTACAACTAGATTATGGTATAAAATATAACTAGAAAAGAATAAGGCAGTTTGAAATGTCTGAACATAGAGGTAAATAGGCTAATGATAATTTAAATAACAGCATTTGTAGAACAATATTTACCATGTAAGCCCACTTTTGAAAACTATGAATATGTGCAATTATAATAGAAACAGGCCAATACATCTATATAAATCTATATGTAACAAACATTAAAAATAGTTACTTTTGGAAAGTAGATTGCAATAGGACTATTTTGTTTCTAATATATCTATTTCTGTATTTAAATTTTCACAGCAAGCATGTGTTAGTTTCATAAGAAAATACTTACAAAGGAGACAAATAGAAAAAGAAAAGATTAATGGGTTGCTGCCATCTGGGAATGCCACAAGGCTCTGTCTTCTGCTTTCATACTGTTGAAAAATGTTATCAATTATTTGGGTGAAGTCGTATATGACAAGCTTATCATACTTTCAGATGGAAAAGAATTGGGGCGGATAGTTAATAGTATAGTGGATTGAGTCAAGTGTTATCCTAACCAGAGCTAGAACGTTGTGTTGAAACTAACAAAATTAACAAAGAAAAATATAATTTACTACATTTAGGCATAAATAATTGGTAGATTTAGTTTAAGATATAGAAATATCTGGCTTACATTTCATGTGGAAAGAGATTTAGTGTCCCTTAGCTTACTACAAACTGAAGATTGACATCCTTAAAATTTTAGGTTATCCAGGTCTCAGGAGTGTTTGTGGTGCTTTGTGCTGGTCCACTGGGGTCATCATGATCTATTCAGAGTGTCATATCTTTAGAGAAACATTGCATAATTAGAGCACAACAGAGAACAAGGATCAAAGTGATGAAGAATCTGTAAAACTCTGCCACAAATTTGAGTTCTTTAACTTAGAGAAGAAAGGATTAAGATGAGACAGAATGGTCGAATTCAAATATTTGGAGGTTGTCTTATGATAATACTTTTCTTTGTTAAGGAAAGAGCAGAAAGGGTACCAGTGAAACAACAATGTGAGCTCACCTTATGAAATAAGAAGCTCATTAGCTGGGTGCGATGGCAGGTACCCATAGTTCCTGCTACTCCAAGGCTGGGGTAGGAGAATCACTTGGACCTGAGAGGCAGAGGTGGTAGTGAGCCAAGATTGTGCCACTGCACTCCAGTCTGGGTGGCAGAGCGAACCTCCATCACAGAAAAAAAGAAAAAAAAAAGAAAGAAACTCCCAGTTCTTGCACATCTGAGCAGAAACTAGATAATGTACACAGACCTTGGAAAATGTATTCTGTACTTGCATACCCAAGCTTCTTACACTAGACCTTTCCCTAAAAAATGGGGGTGAGGCAATGGAATATTCGTGTGATGTTAGTAATACTAGTTTAGACTTAGAGAGCTATAGGTGCAGGGAATTAAGCAGACTATACTATCATTTTAACAATGAGGATTGTTATATTCACACTGTCAGTAGTTGGCTGGTCAATAATGTTTCCTGGGTTTTTGTTTTGTTTTTCAATATGCAAAATCTTAGGGTGACCATTGTAAGTATTCTTTTGGTAGATTTTAAAAGTTATAGCTCAAATAGGAAAAAGATTTTTTCTCTAGGTTTCTAGTCAAGTTTACACAGGATATTAGTAACAAATTTATCATTGCAATGAAGATTGAGATCATTCTAGTTAAGTACTGAAAAAAGTAGAATAATTTGGTTGTCAGAGAAAATAAGACAGCATTGATGTGCTCCCTACAATAACAAAATAATACTTTAAAAATAATACAAAATACATCATTGAGCATTTTTTCCCTGAAGGAACTAAGTTATACAGTGTTCAGAGCCCAACAATATTAAAACATATTTTAATATTCAAAGTAACCAGTGACCTATGGCATATTTTCATTTCAAGAATATATTCAAAATATACTCTTTCCAATCAAGACAGCAATTATCCATTGCACTAGAAAGTAAACAAAAATACTATGAAAATGTAGCAAAAAGACAAAATATTATGAAGAGAAAAACTATAGAAATAAAATTCCAAATGTGCTTTCTAATTAATATCACCTATATTGAATTACTGTTAATGTTTGATACTCAAAGTATAGTCCATGGATCACCCTGAACCTACTGACCCAGAGTCCACATTTTAACATTATTCTGAAGTACATGAACATTTAGGTTTAAGAAACACTACTGTAAACAATTTATATTATTGTGAGATCACTCTTAGTTTCTGCCATCTTAGAGAAGCCGTTTCAGGCTTTCCACTCATAGCTAGAAATTGTGGTATAACTATTTGATGGTATAATACGTAAAAAATTAACAGTGCAACTTGACTGAGTTCTGGATTTCCAGTTACAATACCATGCCTAATGTAGAGTAGAGCTTACTAAATAATTTTAAAATAAATGAATAAATAAATGAGCACTCCCTTGGAGAATCTAACCTTCTGTTGTCTCTCCAGCACCTTTAGAAGTTGTAGACACTAAAAAGTGTTACAATGCAGAAATAAAAGGATCATATGCAAATACTAAAAGTAATTATATGCCAACACATTGGGTAACCTAGGAGAAACAGATAAATTCCTAGACATAGATGACCTACCAAGACGGAATTATAAAGAATTGAAAAATCTGAACATATAAATAAAGGGTAAGGAAATTGAATAAGTAATAAAGTCTCTCTTAAAGAAAAGTCCAGGATTTTATAGCTTTACAGCTGAATTCTATCACACATTTAAAGAAAAACTAATCCCAATCATTTCAAACTCTTCAGAACAATTGAAGAAGAGGAAATATAACCAAACTCATTTTACAAGGCCAGTGTTACCTTGTTACCAAACCCAGACAGGGACACTTTAAGACAAGAATTTTGGAGGTCAATATTCCCAATGAACACAGATTAAAAAAATCTTCAGCAAAATAATAGCAAAGAAAATCAACTGGCACATTAAAAAAACCATTCACCAAGATCAAATGGGATTATTTCAGGAATGAAAGGATAGTTTAACATACACAGATCTATAAATGTAATATACCACATTTGAATGACAAAAACCATATGAACATCAAAATAGATGCAGAAAAAGCATTTGACAAGGTTCAACATTGTTTCATGATAATAACTCAATACATTTGATATAGAAGGAGTAAACTACAACACAATCGAGGCCAGCTATGACAAACCCAGAGCTGACATTATACTACGGTGAAAAGTTGAAAGCTTTTCACTGTAGTAAGGAGCAAAGCAAAGATAAGGAGCAAGGCAAAGATGCCCACTGTCATCACTTCTATTCAACATAGTAGTTAATATTCTAGTATTGGAAGTCCTAGCCAGAACAATTAGGCAAGAGAAATAAAAGACTTCCAAATTGGAAAGGGTGAAGTTAAATGGTCACTGTTTGCAGATGACAATATTTATGTATAGGAAATCCAAAACACTCCAGTTAAAAACTGTTAGAATAAATAAAAGAATTTGGCAAAGTTGCAGGATACAAAAATCACTAGTGTTTCTTTGCAAATAAATAAAAGAATTTGGCAAAGTTGCAGGATACAAAAATCACTAGTGTTTCTTTGCAACAACAAAGAACCATTCAAAAAGAAATCAAGAAAACAATCTTATTTATAACAGCTACAAAAAAATACTTAGAAATAAATTTAACCAAAGAGGTGAAAGACTTGCATATTGAAAGCAACAAAATATTGAGGAAAGAAATTGAAGACACAAATAATTGAAAATATATCCCATATTAATGGGTTGGAAGAATTAATACTGTTACAATAGTCCATACTACCCAAAGTGATCTACAGATTCGATGCACTCTGTATAAAAATTCCTATGACATTTTTTCACAGAAGAAACAATCATAAAACTCATACAAAACCATAAATGATATTGGCCTGGGCAAGAAGTTTTTGGATATGGCCCTAAAAGTACTGGCAACAAAGGCAAAAATAGACAAATAGTATTATATTAAACTAAAAAGCTTCTGCACAGCAGACAATCAACAGAATGGAGAAACAACCTATGAAGTAGAAGGAAATGTTTGCAAATGGTACATTTGATAGGGGGTTAATATCCAAAGTATATAAGGAACTCAAAGAACTCTAGCTCATTCTCACATTGGTATAAAGAAATATCTGAGACTGGTTAATCTCTAAAGGAAAGGGCTTTAATTGACTTATAGTTATGAAAGACTGTGGCCTCAGGAAGTTTACAATCATGGTGGAAGGTGAAGAGGAAGCAAGCACTTTCTTCAAAAGGCAGCAGAAGAGAGAAGAACAAAGGAAGTAGTTCTAAATACCTATGAAACAATCAGATCTCATGAGAACTCCCTCATTTTCAGGAGCACAACACGGGGGAACCGTTCCCATAATCCAATTACCTTTCTCCCTTCAAATATGGGGATTACAGATCCCTCCCTAGACACATGGGGATTATAATTCAAGATGAAACTTGGTTGGGGACACAGAGCCAATCCACATCAAATTAAATAGCAAGAAAACAAATAACCTGACTGAAAAATGGGCAAATAAGCTGAAAAGTTGCTCAAAAGAAGGCATTCAAATGGCCAATAAATGTATGAAAAATGCTCAACATCACCAATCCTTAGAGAAATGCAAATTAAAACCACAGTGAGGTATTACCTCAAATCTATTAGAATGGCCATTATCAAAAATATGGATGATAATAAGCATTGGTGAGGATATGGAGGAAAATGAACCCTTGCTCACCATTGGTGGTAATATAAATTAGTTACAGATAAAATTAAAATTAAAAATAGAACTATTATATTGTTCAGCAAACCTGATACTGGGAATCCAAAATAATTAAATCAGTATGTTGTAGAGATACCCATACTCTCCTATTCATTGTAGGATTATACACAATAGCCAAGATATGGACTCAGTCCTAGTGTACATCATTGGATGAAAAAGACAATGTGGGATTTATACATAATAAATACTATTCAGCCATAAAAAGAAGGAAATCTCATTATCTGCAACAACATGGACGAATGTGGAATACATTATGTTGAGTGAAACAAGTCAGGCTCAGTAAGACTAATAACACACAATATCACCTATGTGGGATCTAGAAAATTGAATTCATAGATGTAGAGAGTAGACTGGTGGTACCAGGAGCTGGAGTGCAGGTGGGCGGTTGAGGAGATGTTGTTCAGAAGATACAAAAGTGCAGATAGAAAGAATAAACTCAAGAGAACTATTGTGCAATCTGGTGACTATTGTTAATGACAATATTGTATCTTTGGAAATAGCTAACAGATTTTTTTTTTTAATTTTTTATTGGATTTTAGGTTTTGGGGTACATGAGCAGAGCATGCAAGACAGTTGCGTAGGTACACACATGGCAGTGTGCTTTTCTTTCCTTCTCCCCTTCACCCACATTTGGCATTTCTCCCCAGGCTATCCCTCCCCACCTCCCCCTCCCACTGGCCCTCCCCTTTTCCCCCTAATAGACCCCAGTGTTTAGTACTCCCCTTTCTGTGTCCATGTGTTCTCATTTTTCATCACCCGCTTATGAGTGAGAATATGCGGTGTTTCATTTTCTGTTCTTGTGCCAGTTTGCTGAGGATGACGTTCTCCAGATTCATCCATGTCCCTACAAACGACACAAACTCAGAGGCACCGGAGGCAACACAACATATCTACAACTATACAATCTTTGATAAACCTGACAAAAACAAGCAAGGGGGAAAGGATTCCCTGTTTAACAAATGGTGTTGGGAAAACTGGCTAGCCACGTGCAGAAAGCAGAAACTGGACCCCTTCCTGACACCTTACACTAAAATTAACTCCAGATGGATTAAAGACTTAAACATAAGACCTGGCACGATAAAAACCCTAGAAGGAAAGTTCATTGCTAACAGATTTTAAATGTTGTCATCACAAATAATACATATAAGAGGTAATGCATATATCAATTTGCTGGATTTAGCCATTCCCTAATGTATGTATACTCTAAAGCATCATGTCTTATACCATAAACATATATGTTAATTTGTCAATTAAAAAAATACTTTAATTTTTTTAAAAAGTGTTATAGAACTGATAGCCCATACTTAGCCATACTAAGAATGTGGTTAAACATACTGAAGGTATGAGGCTTATGTTATACACTTCATAATGATATACAAATAGTAGTCATTTGTGAGTGCTGTATGCTATTATAGCATCACATATGGGGAATACAATGATGAAAAACACACTAGTCCTCACCATTGTCAAAACTGCATTTTGAGAATCCTGTTCCTAATCTCTGGGGTTTAATCCTGAGATTTTTTTCCCCCAGGTGTTAATCTCTCAAAATTATTTATAATTTTCCTACTGTTGATCTGACAATATTGTCTTTACATTTATGAATAATACTAACAATTTCTTTCTGAATTTCCTTCCTTTTTCCTCATGTGTTAGATTTTAATGTTTAAAACACTGTCTATAGTTCCATTCAGTGAGTTGTTTTGCCTGTCTACCTAATTATGAAGAAAAATGTCTTCAAGTTGTTTTTTTTTTTAATTTCTATGCCAACACCTATTTACATTGAAAAAGACAAATAAGATAATAAGAATAGGGAAGAAAAGAATACATTTCTTTGTTCTGTTTCTTGGATCAAGTATAAAGCATCTCACAGATAATATGCCTGTTCAGACCTGCTGACTGTCATTTTATTTTCTTTTTGACTCTCCCAATTGGCTTACCTCCGGGATAGGGAAGCAAGTGATAAAATTCTTGATTTCCTTAAATCTGAATACTTTACTCACGCTTGGGGTCCCTTTTCATGAACTATTCTATTGCCTGAGTTTATTACATACTGTGTATTTTGCATAGGGTCCCTTTCCCTTAAGTGCTCACGGTGTTTCCTTCAATTATTACCCTTATCCTACACACTTTCCTGCCCCCACCACACTATAAACATTTTCAGTTTTCTCTAGTTTTAGAAAAAGACACTCTCCTTTTACTTTTCTTCCCGAATCATAGTTTTGAATATTGTCTCAATTCAAGCAGCTTTGCTTTGATGGAAAACTACAATCATGCATTGAGCTGGTACCTTTCCGAGAAATGCAACATTAGGCGATTTCGTCATTGTGTCAACATCATACAGTGTACTTACAAAATCCTAGACCAGGGGTCCCCAAGCCCTGCGCCACTTCCCTGACTTGTAAGGAACTAGGCTGCAGAGCAGGAGGTGAGCAGTGGGCGAGCGAGCTAAGCTTCTTCTGTATTTGCAGCCACCCCTCATTGCTTGCGTTACTGCCTGAGCTCTGCCTCCTGTGAGATCAATGGCGGCCTTAGCGTCTCACAGGAGCGCGAATCCCGTAGTGAACTGCGCATGCGAGAGATCTAGGTTGTGCGCTCCTTATGAGAACATAATGCCTGATGATCTGTCGCTGTCTCCCATCACCCCCAAACCGGACTATCTAATTGCAGGAAAACAAACGTATTGAGCTCCCCCTCATTCTACATTATGATAAGTTATATAATTATTTCATTGTTTATTACAATGTAATAACAACAGAAATAAAGTGCACAATAAATGTAATGTGTTTGAATCATCCTGACTCCACACTACCCTCCCTTCTGCTGCCACTTCGTTCATGGAAAAATTGTCTTCCGTAAAACCAGTCCCTGGTGCCAAACAGGTTGGGAACCATTGACCTAGACAATATAGCCTGTTGCACACCTAGGTTATATGATATAGCCTATTGCTCCTAGACTACAAACCTATGCAGCATGTTGCTGTACTGAATACTGTAGGCAACTGTAGTACAATGTATGTTTTTATGTATTTAAACATGTCTAAACATAGAAAAGGTATACCAAAATACAGTACAAAATGTTTATGATAGGGGTGGTGGCTGAAACCTGTAACCCCAGCACTATCGGAAGCCAAGGTGGACATATTGCTTGAGCCCAGGAGTTAGACAGTGGCCCGGGCAGCATGTGAAACTCTTTCCCTACAAGAAAGAAAGAGAGAGAAGAGAAAGAGAGAAGGAGAGAGAGAGAAAGAGGAAGGAAGGAAGGAAGGAAGGAAGGAAGGAAGGAAGGAAGGAAGGAAGGAAGGAAGGGAAATAAAGGAAGGAAGAAGGGAGGGAATGAAGGAAGGAAGGGAAAGAGAAAGAAAGAATAAAGAGAGAGAAGCCAAGTGTGGTGCCATGCAACTGGAGGCTCAGCTATTCAGCAGGCTGGTCCCACCAGGACCTGGGAGGTGGAGGCTGCAGGGAGCTGTGCCCTTCAATTTACATTGACAATGCAATTTTGTCCTACAAACTCTTCCTAGAGTAATCTTTGCAAACACATTCGGTCATTTAAGTGCTCATGAAATACCTTAAATGTTTCAAGGATAAAATTTAAGCTCCTCTGGCTAGGATTTGGTTATCCAATCCTTTCCTCATATCCCCTTTTCCTCTATTCCATATTAATGTGTGTACTCCAGCCCAAATATGTCAAGTCATCAATTCTTTGCATTTGTACAGACTTTTTACTCTGTCTAGGGTACCCTTCTGCTATTTATATGCCTGGTTAGATTTTATGTATTTTTGAGGACTCAGGTGAACTGTCACCTCTTTTGAGAAGTCTGTAATCCCCTTCCCTTCCCATAATGTGGGTTGGGAATGTTTCTCCTCTGGGCTTCCAAGGCATTTTGTGCATATTTCCATTACATCACTCATTTCTGTGTATTTGTTTGTTTGTTTAATTTATGTCTCTTTCACTAGAGGACAGGAATTATGCTTTTCAATTTCTGTGTCTCTAATCAGTCGTGAGGACTTGAGCATATGTAACAGGCATGGCCCGTTGGAGAATATGACAAAATTATTTAAGTAAGTGAGTCAACCAAAGGATGAGATTATTGGCTTCTAGCAATAATTGATGACTGTTTTTTATTTATTATTACTGGGTTCTAGAGGAATATTATAGGAAGAATTGATTTGCCAGTGTTACAGATTAGGAAGAGATGCTTTTGTCCTCAACTCCAACTTATTTTGTGTATATATTCTGCTTAGTTAAATCTGCCCCCAAACTTACCATGGTTGGCTACTTAATAACTTACAATAATTTTAAGCTTCTAGATAGCTTTTTGGTTTCTGTACTTGTTATCTGCATATTGCTTAATCAAACAACTTTCATATAATGCCTCAGCATGAGTCTCTGCTCCAGAAACACAATTTGTTTGGATATGTGGTACCTCACTTAGGATAACTAGGGTCAGCATGATTATACTAAAACTCATATTAATAATGTCTCACAATGCTTAAAATGAGAGAAGTGCATTTCCCTATCATGTTGAACTTTTTAATGAGCTGGTTTAGACACATATGGTGGTTGCTCAAAATCATAGGACCCAGATTATTTTCAATGTGTTTCTTCCTCATCCTTAGATGTGTTACCAGAGCTAGCCATCACAGACAAGGACAGAGGCAGGGCATAAGATGAACATGACCTCTCTCTCAAATAAATCCTTCTGTAAGATCTACAGGACATTTTTACATTTCACTGGCTACGATTTACAACGAAATGTTAAGAAGTGCTGTTCAACCTCATAAGATTTCCACTAATTGTGTGGCTTGGGGAAGTGACTTTCTCTCCTTGAAAGTCATTTTCTTCATTTCTAAAATGTAATTAATGAGATGAGCATTCTCATCTCATAGAAATACTATAAAGATAATAAATGTGCATTTGAAACTCTAGTCCAGTGACAGGCACATAGCAGGCTTCCAATAATGGTAGTTGCAGTTGTTAGTGTAGATGGCATTACTGACTCAGAGATATCATGGCTCCTGCAAGGTCCCATAACTAGCGATGGTTAAGTCAGTTTTCAAACCCAAATCAGCCTGACTGAAACTCTCTCTCTTACAAATGAAATGAAATATGGCAGGGACTTGGACTGAGAGCTTGTGTTTTCCAGTTCAATTCTCTATGTCATGAATCATGATATACTTTTGGTCTGAGTTTTCAGGACCATTGAAAATAGAGTTAAAATAGAAAGATTTAGTTTCTTTGGTTTGACTTATCCAAATAATTGCCTTGCTTCCACTTATTTTTGTGGAGACTTGGCTGAAATCAACAGCATTAATTGAGTGTGTAATTCTGGAACCATCTAAGAAAGCTAAAATCATTTAAAATTAGTTGGGGTTTAGTAACTAGGTTGAACTTTGCCTTTATGAGGCAGTTTCCAGCTGACTCACTGCAGCTGCAACAATTGACATCATTTTGTGCCTTTCATGCAAAGACTAATTTGGCAGGCAGCACTCCCAGTGGAGTGGGTTTCTGAGCCTCGGTGAATCTCAGCATTGGAATGGACTTTAAAGGTCATGAAATCTAAACCTTAATGTAATGATTGAATTGGCTTACATCAACCCCATCAAGAGGTTTTCTAACCTACACTTGGATAAGCCCAGTGACAAATAAAT